ATTCCTTTTAAGGTTTACAAGTAGTGAGATGAGATGATGCTCTTACATGTTGTAGAATCATAAAATAAAAAATAAAACAAACTTGTGATGAGATTCCTCATCTAAATTTTTGTAAATAATCAAATGGCCATTTGCATTCAGTACAACATCACATTTTTTCCATCGCCAACCAAAAACTGTAAAATATCCTTTCTCGATATTTCCGGCTATTGCAGAAGGTAACGAAAATAACTTTTCCTATAATTGTAAAAAAAAACAAAACATAAAATTCAAATGTTTAAAATTAATCTTATCAAAATATTGGTTACACAAGAGGTCAAATATTTATTCGATTATATAATTTTCTTTATTTGTTTTATTTACTGACACAAAAAATGAGATAAAAATCTTTGGTAGATATAACTTTAAAAGTATAAAATTAGAAGAAAAAAGTAAATGAAAGTGAAAAATTTATATTTAATAAAGTTTTCAACTCGAAAATTTTAGTTTTTACAAATTTAAAATGAATAACGAGGAATTATTTAAAAATAGTTTCAAAAATGATGACCGGATTCGGTAAACTTATATATTTCTGCTTTTGCTTGAAGAATTTCATGTCAAACTTTGGTTACAAGCATTGTCTACCAGCAACTAATACAAAGACAAATATAATGTTACAATAAGTTAACTATCAAATTTTCACTAATTTTTAATGATTTGAAATAATTCATTTGCATAAATATTAATAATACATCTTAAAGCAGTAGTACTTCTGAAATTAACAACATTTTACTGAAATTCAAATTGATTTATTTTAATAAAAAAAGAGTTATTAAGTTACGAATTTGAATTACTTGAAGTGATTGCAAATTATTACATTCAATTTTTATTAAATTACATAATATTACTTAATTTAATTTCAGATTTAATTATTTGTAAAAAAATTTTTTTTTTAAAATTTTTGCTGAAAATTTGTTAAAATAAAACTGAATAAGTTATTACACTGTCTTTTTTTAACGTAATTTAATTAGTCTTTTGATATGCAATTATTTTCAACGAATGAATAAAACAAATTACTTACTGCGTCTTTTAATGATTTAAAAAAATGAAATGATGACAATATTATTGATTATCTTGGAAATATCTGCTAGGATAATTTTTAGACTGAAATAATTTCAATTTAAACTCAAACAGTAATAGAAATTTCATAGTTTTATATAGTAAAATTCAGAATACTAGGTGTGCATCAAAACTTATTCAAAGACTACTTCGTTTTTTGTAATTCATAACCAGGCAATAATCTTAAAGTTTTACAAAGTAAGAATCTTTTAAGATTTATAAATTTTCAAGGCGGGTCTGTCAGAGTTGCACAAAATCATTGATACTGGACTGATGTGAAGAGTATGTATGGTCTACATACTTTGCAGTTTCGATAGATTAAAGTAATTTATGCTTTTGTGATCTGTGTGAAAAGTGTAACAAAATGTAATATTTCATTTATTATTTTATGGAATAAAGATTGTAGAAGAAGATTTAGAAAGACTGAAGTTAATCAATTTATAATTAAAATATTACTAATTAATAAATTATTGTTTTGCAATACATAATAGGATACTATTTTGTGTGTAGTTTTTTTATTTCAAAATTTTCAATTCAGATTAATATTTGTTTATATCTTGTGCTTCGCAACGGCAACTTTCAACTTTCAAGTTTACTGATTATTTCAGAAGTATTTTATGAGAAGAGGAAGTACTTTGAAATTTATTCTCAAAGGTGTACCATTCTTAATAGCAGGCAGTGCAACTTTGTTACTTGCATACAAAATACAGCAGATCAAGTTCGAATTTGGCCCATCTTCATCGGAGTTAGCTACCAAAAAAGAATTCGTATGTTTTTTTTTTTCTTAAGTATATTTCATTTCAGTTCCAGCTTTGCTATCTTTCTATGTCAAAAAAGAAGTAACTTTCGTTCTATTAAAAATTTTTGAACTTGCTGGATGTTCTAAAATATTTACTTTTTATATACAGTGTTTGAGCATAAGTATTCTTTATAATACTTATTGTTGATTATTTTACCATAATAATAGAATAAGCTATCATCTAAAAGATACAGAAAGAAACAAAGTTGTTTAAGTTTAAAAATTTTTCTACTTTGAGTGAATTTCTTATGTTGAACGTTTTATCTTATATATAAAAGATAATACATCGGTTTAATTCAATTTATTCAAAATAGCATATCTAACCGCTAAAATTTATTGCTAAAAATGGTGAAGTGCAGAAATGCTGGCTTTCCGTGTAATCAATTTAGTAATGTTACTGACAGAACAAACAAAAGGAAATTATGATAAAGTTTCGTTAATCTAATCTGTTAAGTAAGTAAATAAAAATTATTGAGTGATCCTCTACTTTGTCAAGTGTAGTAATTGAGAGTTTGAAATATTCAAGTATGACAATGTAGTTTATTTCAGAAACAGTTTTTGAACAAATACGGAATTCACCAGCAAAGTGACGAAGCAATTTATCAGGTAATTTCTTTTCTAAGATTAATATGAGCATAATTTCATCATTTTTAACACTTGACATTTAGGAGCTTGTTGAAAAAAGAAGCGACGATTGGGAAAATATTCGAGGGCCGCGTGATTCGGAGGATAATCGCGAATTTCTTGACCTAAAGTTAGTATTCAAAGCTTTGTAAATGCAGCTAAAATTATTGTGATTAACTATAATAATCTATTCAAATGCACCGCATCATTCATTTAAATTATGTTGTTTTCAAATTTAGAAGACATCGAGAAGAAGAACTCAGAAAAACTCGTAAAAAATTAAGAGAACAGCGACAAGTTATTGGTTAGATGTCAGACGAGTTACCGGACGAAGATTTTCAAAGGTCAGAAATGTTATCTGTCAGTATTTGAAAAACCGTAGAACTTCCATAGCCACTATCCTGCTGCTTTTATCAGCCAACGCGTTTCATGGGGTATAATGAGCAGAAAGTTTAGGACTGTAATTTAGCGTTTACTTTATCGTACAATGCCAGTTCTGGTTACCCAAATTTTTTGCATTCAATAAATTATATTTAGCAAATTATGGTGTGTTACTTTTTCGGTCAGTGTTGCATTTTCTCATTTACTTTTTAAGTGCGCGCTTTATAAATCTACTTAAATCTTGTCGTAGTATTTTAATTTGGCTAAAAAAGTATTTGGCTAATTAACTGACATTTTGCTTGTTAAAAAAAACAGCTGCTCTGTAACTGACATCAAATTCGTAATTGATTAGGACTCTATACAAAATGGATGCCTAGACATTCAAATGTTGATATGAATCGCTTCAAAAAGATAAGACTGCTCAGATTGGGCGTATCCATTTCCATCCATTTTTATGCAATTTTGTTTCCTTGCAAACGGAAACATTTAAAGTGGTTTTTTCGTCATGTTCATAATTTTCAGATAATATTAGACATAAGCCTGTGTTTTGTAGAAAATAATTATTTTTACAGCATAGCACTAAACAGACATAGAGTAGGCTCATCTGGTGATTTCACTGAAACGCCTCCACCTCCACCTGGTATTTCAACAATAAGTAGAGAAGCTGTTAGAGGTAGTGAACAAACTCCTATAATTTCATCACCAGCTCGATCCGATCATCCACGTAATTGCATGAATATCTGTTTAGCTTACATAATTGTTGCACTTTTTTCAGTGTTTTGTGTTTAGTTTACTTATTCAATGCATTTTTTAGACAAAAGTTTGCAAGTTTTTATGCTTAGACATATTATTTGAATTTTATGAACAGTTATTGGTTTTCATAGTTAGTAAGAAATTGAAACAATAAAATATAGATTAACATGGCTCATTTTCAGAATCATCAAGTATTCAGTTCATTGCGGATCCTACTACTGATCATCAAACAAGTTTTCCATCTTCTTTATCTATAAATTCTAATCAGTTAGCACAGCCTGTATCTGATCCTGCAATTTCTACATCAGCAACTTCCTTTCCGACACAATCTTTTTATGTGCCTATGGTTCCAGGCTTTAATCAAGAAACCTTTCATACGATTGCTGAATCTCCGCAAACAAGTAAGTCAAATGAGCAATGAGACTTACTTGATTAATCTTAGTTCGATTGCGCTAAAAATCTTATATTTTGTTATGATTAAAAACATTTTATGAAATTTGGATGGGCTAACGATCAATTTGAGCATAAAACATATCATTTTGGATGAGACAATTTTTTTTTTGGATTTTCTTCAAGTTATATGCCCTTAATTATTCTACTAAAACGCTTTTGTCTCAGCTGCATCAAATCTCTCGGATTGTGACATAACATTGCCACAGTCTTTGGTCGTCAACGCCAGTTGTTCACATCCTGCTGATCCAGAAAATAAGGAAGAACTCGTCGATCGTGTTTTACTGGCCGAAATCCTCGAATTGGGTTTTGAAGAGTCTATTGCTATTTTAGCTTTATCAAAGACAAAAGGTGCAGCCTTCAAATTGATATCCTTTTAACTTTAATAAAGTTTCACGAGCTATAATGAAAAGTTCAAAGACTTGCTCTTTGTCTTGTTTGAGAAAATTTAATCCCAGTCTTTGGTTTGTTATTTAGATTTTCTGTTGTCTGAGCTGTGACGTTTTGTAGTTCAGTAAAGATTTTATCAGGAATTGGTGGAGCTGAAACTGCTGTCAATTGGATTTTAGAGCATAGCAACGAAAGTGATTTTGGATCAGACGAAGAGCAGAATTTGATGGGGGGTATATGTTTTATGCGTCTAGCTTAAAAATTGCGTCAACATTTTTCATGGAAAAAGACATTTTGTGTTGTCACTTGCACTTTAAGTGATGACACAAATTTTTTTTTTCATATTTAACTTGGAGACTAATATTTTTTTAAAGCTGAAAAAGTTTGAAACTATTGACAGGCACAGTTTTTAATTTCTTTTGTACTGCTTATCTGATTTGAAATGACAGGGGCATTAAAACTTATTTTTACAGGAGTTCAGTTTTCAAATGCTATTGCTAGGAGGCACAAAATGGTATTCGTTGTTAATATGACTTTAAAGATGGGAACAGGAAAATTAGCTGCTCAAGTTGGCCATGCAACATTAGGTGTTTATCGACTTGCGCAGCGAAGCGAAGATGTTTGTGACTACATCAATTTTGAAAATAATTTAATTGAAGTTTATGGATTGCTTTTATTTATTACTCATTAGGTTCTAATTAGGCATTTGGATTGCAAGTTTCAGGGGCAGCACGCATTAGATGCATGGAGGATTTCAGGAGAAATGAAGGTGGTTGTTAAAGGACATAACACCGAAATGCTTCTAGATCTCTTCAAACAGGCCAAAGACATAGTAATTTTTAGTTTATTTATCTTTGTTTATTCTTTGTGTAGTATCAGGCTTTTTTAAGGTTAGGTTTATTGATTTCTCACTCTTCTTCATAAAAATCACTCCTGGTAGTATAGCGTTTCATTATATTCCAAGTATGTTTGGATGCAAATTGAATATTTCAAGCTTATTTACAGGGTTTATTTGCTTATATAGTATCTGATGCTGGCCTTACACAGGTTCCTGTTGGATCACGCACTGTCCTTGGTATTTTTGGTCCATCTGAGACAGTTGATATGGTTACTGGTGAACTGAAGCTTTTGTGATTTCATTTTACCAATGATAAACACATCGATCAAGATCTATAGCATTTTTTGTTTGACGCTGTAGATATGAACTTAGTAAACTTTTGAGTGACTACTGTATTAATATAACAGTTTGAAGCAGTCATTATTACTTCATTTTTGAGTATCCGTCCTTGACTTTTATCGCCTCTTTTGTTCTTGTAATATTAGATGTGGTTTGAAGTCAGCTATTTTGATGAAAAGTATCGGGTAGTTTTTCGCGAAAAATTACTAGTAACCATCATTTCATTATAATTAATAGTAAAAAATTGTTAAATTAATATTTTATCTGTTAATTGTTGGAAAATTTATTGTGACATATACTATGTAATTATGATTTTTACTGTTTTAATATTTTTAGCATCGTAAATCAAGAAATTCGACTGGTCACAATATTTTTATCATTTTTCTGAAAGTATGATTGCAAATATAGAAGACTGCAAGTGAAATCCATTTATTTAGTGGATTTTTTGGCATTAGTCTGAGTGTTGAAAAAAATGTGTGAGCTGCGCTTATTATTTTGACGAAATTTTAAGATATTTATTTGACTGTGAAGAATTCTTCATTGTCAGAAATCTGTTTTATTTAATTTGAATGTTATTTATTTCTAGTCCAGTGTGCTATAATAGGTTTCCTGCATTAATATTCTAAAATTGGAATTGTCAGTTCAATCAAATTCTTCGTCAAAACTGTTTTTATATACACGAATGAGTGAAGAAATTACAATGCTTTGAAATGAGATGAACACCCATCAAATAGACTAGTTGACGAGCTGCATATTTATATGTCAAGTAGTCAGTCGTTCAATTAGAAACACGTAATGCGGAATTATCTAAACTCATTGAAATGTAGGGCACTTTGCGTATCAGTGTACTACGTAAACTAGTTTTCTGCACATATGAATTCTTGTTCAAATAAGTCCCTAACGTCAGCTATTTACAAATGGATTTAACTGTTTCGATATGGGATTGATATCGCGTAGAATTAATACTATCGAAATTGAAACAAAGGCATACCGAACTAAATACAACACTACAATGTCACCAAAAGACAGTGATAAAACGGTAGGGTTGGGCACTGACCTTGTAGTTGTCTGTTAAAATCAGATAAATTCCCGAAATCACTACAACACATTTTCAGGTTCTAATGTGGAAAAATGTGAAACTGATTGAGATATAACCATTTCAAATAGTTTAAATCTTTTATAACCAAAGCAGAAGTAACCTTTTTTGCTGTATAAATTGCAAACAAATCCCATCTCTATTCACAGTTTTTCAATGAACATGCAAATTTCTACTTGTAGTATGTAGTACAACGTTTGTTTAGATCTTTTCAGTAGTTTTCCATCGCTCAAATGTAAGAAACACCCATAAAACTAATAGTGTAACCATGGGAGGTATGCATGGTATTCAGCATCAAATTCTGCGTATACTTGTAGTAAATGAAGAGATAGCAATGCATCTTTCACAAGTTAAAAAAGAAGGTTTAACAGGAAATTCCCGGTATATCGCGACAACTATTACCAACATATTAAGAAAAATGTAATGATAATGAATGAAAAAAAGAGGCCATGTACATATCCTGTGGCAGTGGTTGCTGATTGAACGATTAATCAAAAGTAAAACAAACGACGAGATAATACCAAATGGAAAGTAGCAAATTGGATCGAATTAAGACATTATTCTAGTATAATTACGTTCCAAAAACAAAAATTCATAAATTTTTTCTGGTACAAACTTAGCGGTAGAAAAGGCATACATTACCTTCTATGTTAATGCTGAAAAAAATTGCCTCAAATGTTTTCTATTTGCTACTTTGTTACCATAGGCAGAAATTGAAAATGTTCTGTTTAGATAAGGCAATCAAAGAACCAATTACCAAAATTCATATCATTTTGCTAATTTGAATCTTTTTGATTGCGGTCTAATCAGATCATTTTCAATCTCTTTGGCATTGGCAAGATAACCAAGCAAGAAAAAAAGCATTAACAAAGCAAGAGTACAAAAATGATGCCATTTAAGGGGTGTATTTATCTTCCTTAATTTAAAACGTTGCATAGCAATACTCATAAAGTTGATTTTCAATGTATTCTAGTTCAAGAAATTAAACAAAAACGACTGGATTAAGTATGATGCAAAAAAGTTGGCAAAACCATAAAATACATGCAAGAATATGAGAGTTAAGAAGGTTTACTTTTATTATTAGATTGATTAATTTCCGTAT